GATTTTGCTCAACTCAGATTAAATAATAAAATCTTTTGTTTATTGGAACATTTCATTTTAAATTCTATAATTCTTCTACAATTCATGTAAATGAATGAATTTGATTTGTACCATACAATAAAAATTTAAGAAGTAATTAATAGAGGACGTAATGTATTGACATTGTGTTTAGAACTACACAAACGAATTTCAGAGGTCGTTTTATGTTAGTAATTTTTTACTGCAGTTATTAATTAAATATTACTAAATATTTACTAGACATAATAATAGAGCATATTCCTTAATGTTTTGCCAATAAAGATTGATTGATAAGAAATATTAGAAAATTTCATTATAATTAAAATTCATATAATGAACTCTCTAAATCTGGAAATTTTTGAAATTCATTGTTTAAACTTGTGTTAATTTAATATAATTATTTAATTTTAATTTTGAATTCAACTTTTTAAAATAAAGTTATTTGTTTATTGTGTTAATAATAATTAACATTGTAATTTTTTAAAATGTTAAATTTTCATAATAATTATGTTATGGTCACTTTTTATTTAGTTTTAAATATCAGAAAGGAATTTGTAATTAAATTTAAATTCTATGTAGTTTTCTAAGTATAAATTACTTTTTAAATTTAAATGTATATTTAAAAAACCAACGAATTTTCATATATACAAGATATATTTTGAAATTAGTTATTTTATCTTTTAAGACTAAACTATTAGCCTTTATTTTTAATTACCCTCTTTCATAGAATAAGTATAATAATTTCGTTAAGTTCCAATTATTGCAAGTAAAAATGTTAAATTTTAATGTTTGAAACAAATATTTATATTCTACATATTTTTTACATAATTTTCATCTGTAAATAATAATATTAAACAATTGGGTACATTCTTTAAGTTTAGCCAAGAATATTTTTATATTTATTTTAAATTATTAATTATTTCTATTTCAGTATTACTTATTCCGAAAATGAATATAGTTACGTTATTATAAAGTGATAATGTTATGGACTGTTGAGTAAAACACAAAAATTTATAAGAAATTCAAGATCTAATTATAAAAATGTTAATATTTATACAAAACTTTATAACTTGAAATGTACATCAAGATATTTAATTTCGTTATTTGGCAAATATATTTTAAATTACAAAATGAAATGTATAGAAAGGCGTAAAGAGAGAGGGGAACACGGGAACATATGTGCCTCTGGGAACGATGACTCTTCTAATAGATTAACAATTATTTTTGTAATTATTTACTATAAAAATTGAAATGATATGATGTTATTAATATGAAAATGCTGCTCAGAGGCATATTCAATATTAATCACAAGCATACCATAAATTTGCAGCACCCGCAAATTCACAACATGCCTCCGAAGATGTATATTTTAACTTTCATTATATTAAAAATTTTACATATTTATGAAACACATATCTCAGTTGTTTCAATTACGATGTTAAAATATTGGCTTTGCTAGAATTAATAATTAGTAAACATCATAGAATATTTTTTTCTAGAAAGAAATAAACACATGAAATATAAACCAGAATATATAATTATTTATTTAAATCAAGTAGTAAAAATTCTAACGTTTTTTAATTGAAGAATTTTTATCAATTCAAAAACCATTTTACGCATTCAGTAATTAAACTTTAATAAAGTTAAGGTATAGTACGTAGTAAACATCATTGTTTATTGAAGTATTACTATAATTAACTATATAACATTTATGCTTTTATTCAAATAAATTTATGTATTAAAATTATTTCTATGCTTTAATTTTTTTCTTAATAAACTTTTATCGTATTATAAGCAAATTCAGTTTGTTACATTCTAAATTTTTAAAAGTTAAGGAGTTAATAGCAATTTTCATTTGAATATGAGAATATGCGTGTAATATTCAATTTTAATCATAAAAAATTTGACTATTTTCGCTTCAGGTCGTTTATCACTTTTTTAATTAAATTTGTTATAAATGTATTAAATTTATAACAAATCTAATTATTTACAAAATATTTAAATCGATACGAGATATGAAAAAAATATTAAAAAACCAATACATAAACCTAATAAAATTTATTTTTAAGAAGCAGGAATGAAGTAAAGTACATAATTTTTTACTTGTATTTATGGACATTTTTTATAATATAAATCGATTTAATTTTAAAATATTTGATTGTAATGCCCATTGAATTTATACAGTTTGGACGGACTTATATATTATACAATATGGCAGTGTCATTTTTAATTAATCTGGATTCGAATATGATCTCGATCTTGACCTTGATCCTGATGATTTATTTTATAAATGATTCAGTGAGTCATGGCTTTTATAACATCTTTCTGCTATTTGCATTGTAATCATGCCTGTTTGGATTGTAATCAGGTCGCTTTTAATGGAGAGAATTTATGTCAGCTTATGTAATATTACAGGTTGATGCTTAACGTAAGAAATCCGATAAATATTATTATACATTTTTAAAAAAATATCAAACATTTCATGAGATAAACTTTATATATTACATTACACATGGCAAGTGTTTAACGATAAAATTATTTTTCTTGGGTATCCCTCATCAAGTATTTAAGCTAGTAAGATAAACTTTATAGATGTAAGCTACCGTACACTTTTCACATCACAAATACTTTTTGCATTGTATTGACACTTATTATTATTCTGGAATGTGCAAGACAATAAACATTTGGGATAATTTTTCTCATTCTACAATAGAATACATAATACATTTCAAATTAATGCAAAAAGTATAAAGTTTTTAAATGTTTTGTAAATAAGAATCCATTTGGAAAATCCAACTTCTTTCTTTACTAATGGATGTTTGCATAATTATTCACTAATAAAGAAAATATAACAAATAGTGACAAATAAGTGAAAAATTCATCTTAATTATATTAATCATATATATGAGTTATATTTATTAATCAAAATGTTCAAGATCAATACATATTCGCTCGAGATAAAAATAAATATTGTAATTTATTGAGTAAGTACATTTTTTTTCCACTTATAAAATGAATTGTAGTCATTCCTGACTGATACAACTGGACGTATAAATTGTCTGAAATGTTTTCAAAAATATCTACAAGCAGTTCTGAAGTATTTTTCTGCATGCTTGCTGTCTAATAATAATACAGAGAGATACTTCGAAAATTATATATAAGCCTATATATAAAGATTATTATAGTTATTTGTCGTTTTTCTGAACGTTTCTCGCTGTCATTTATTAAAATCAAAATCAATTATTAACTTTAGTAACATTATAATTTTTAATGGATGTTGATTTAATTTTCCTTTTTTATTGATTCTTCTTTCTTTTATCAATTATTTTAACATTGATTTTATTAAAAATAAAACGGATTTTTTGACACTTTCAGTAGTTTTTATAATTCTTTAATCGATAAAAAAAATCGTAAATATTATAAAAAGTGTATTAAAGAGGGAAAATTCATTAAATTTAGATACTTTACAGATTAAAATATAATAATAAGAAGAATTAATTTTATTTATTTATTAATAAAAATATTATTATTTTGTCAAATATTTTACAGACCAAATTTCATTCCATTTGGACATTTTTTATGTAACATATTAAGACATATTTTTAGTATTAATATTTTCTTTATAGGCAGAATACACAATCTAGTTTATAATTAATAATTACATTTACAGGTAAATAAAAAAATTTTGATTCTGAATTTCCAATGTCCAGAATTCTAGTGGACTTGGTGAGAAAATTGGCGAAATAAATACTGTAATAAAATTACAGAATTTAATTTATTTTCTTTCTAATTGTAATATTATTGTAATTTTATTTATATTACATATAATGAATATTTGTTTGGATAAGTTTTATATAAATTTTATTTCTCTGATTTTTATAAAATAGATGAAAATATATAGCAGGTAAACTGATTATTAACTTTATTTAGAAATTTTGTTGTACAAGATTTCAAACTTTTTATGTTCAAGATTTCATGTACTAAACAACATAGTTAATCATTTATATACTGAAGATGCCATCACTCAAGTGACCTCCATTGATGGGATGACATTTTTCGCATCTCTAAATATATCGTACAGTACATAGAGCGGTACAACATACTCTCGGGTATGTTTGTAAATGAATGAAGAACTTTGCCTAATAATTTAAATATTTTATGTACAAAGAGTGTGGTATATGAAGATCGTGCACAAAATATTGAAACTCTTCAAGCAAAAATTCTTCATTTAATTAATAACATATCCGAGAATATATTACGCCGCTCTACTACACATGACATACTTTCGAATGTGCAAAGATTATCTGCTCATAAATGGTCAATTGAGTGATGTTATCATCAAAATATAAATATCAAACTATGTTTAAATCTTGTGCATAACATTAATTAGTGCGCTTGTTCCTCTGGCTGATTTTAGCGTAAAAGTGAATAGAATGATGCCGATAATTATTTTTGAAAGCAATTTATAACAATACGAAAATAACTGAACTCATAAGCCACACTTCTGTATGAAAGAGTATAGGTNGTGCCCTTGATTTTTCTCACGTTCAATGAAACTTTTAAAATATTTTTATATTATTCTTTGTTAAAAATTTGTATTGAAAAGAAAGTCTTTTTGTAGAATCAAAGAGATGTTTTGATGCCAAGACTTGCAATTTATTTAGTAAATGATTCTATTTATAGCCTAAGGATACGAAATAGCAAGATGTAAAACGAACACAAAATGTTTCCTTGATAAATAAATCAACGGAGTCTCCATTCTATTCTGAATTTTCAAAAGATTTCGAACAATAATATAATATAAAATCTTTTGTCATATTATTCTTGATAAAATCTAGCTTTATCCCTTCTTAAATTTTTAATTTATGTCCATAGCTAAAATTTTTTAAATCAGTTTTCTTTCTATGAATTCGGTATTGATATGTATATACTTTAAAGTCATTAATAATAATAATAATAATAATAATTGTTATTTTTATGAGATGTATGGAGTAAGACAATTTATAAAAGAATTCGTATGTAAATATTTCAATAATTGTATAAAATTAATTATTTCATGCATAAAATTGAAGTTAGAAATATATTTAACAGGGTTTGATAAATACAAAGGTGGTTTGGATACAGTGCACGATCTAACAGGTACTGAATCTGTATATACATCATGGAGAGGAATAGAAATTATGTTTCATGTTTCCACGCTTTTGCCTCACGAAGATCACGATCCACAAAAGGTAAAAAATTGATATCCAATCGAAAAAAAAAAAATAGCATTCAACATTTCCGATTCCTGTATGATGTATTGCTGATGTCTTTCATAATATTTCAGTTACAAAAGAAACGTCATATAGGTAATGACATTGTTTGTGTAGCCTTCTTAGAAGCTGAAGATACATTGTTTTCGCCGGCCTGCATCAAGTCCCATTTTCTACATACTTTTATTGTGGTAAAAACTTCTCCAAAGAAAACAAATCCTACCGTATATCAGGTCATTTTAATATTAAAATCAAACTAAAATAGTAAATCGATTATTCTTAACAAGATAGACAAAAATTATATATTATAATAGCAATGAGCGAAGATTATAACTCGATTTTTATCTGTTTTTTAATGTTTCCTGTGCTTTGAATAGAAATCAGTCGTAATATTCTCGGGCAGGAAATTACTATTTCTAGTGTCTGCTAAATGTCATATTTATTATTGTAACTTCATCTGCTTTGATTTTATGTGAATAGTTTATTTATTTATATATATATATATATATTTTATATGAAGTTGTAGTAGTTGATGCGATTCAGAAAAACATTATTTTATATCTGAATAAAATGTTTATTTATTATTAGAAAATTTTTCTTTCTGTTCAACAAATATTTATATTATATATATATAAAAAAAACCAGCTTAAATTTTTCAGTTTGTGATATAAAATAATATATTTCAGTATATTGTTTAGGTGTCTGTTGTTTCTCGAGATGAAGTTGGTGCTTATAAGCCTTATTTATGGCACTGTTCTGTTTTTGAAAAGGTAATAATATTTATATATTTAATATAAATTTTAGTATTTGTGAGAAATAAATAAATAAAATATATTTTATAGGATCCTTTATTTCGCGAGTGGCTATTAACGAAAATCGTCAATGGTGAAAGAGCTAGTTATTCAGCACCGAAATTTGCAAGAATGCAGGTGGTTTGTTTAATTTATATCTTTTGGAATGTGAAAAATTTCATCTTTCATATAAAATTTCTTTAATCTTGACTCTCGATTCTATATTAAAATTGCAGAATATTTTTATAAATCAATTATTGTACTTTATCACCATTATATTAACGACATAGAAGAAGTGTCTACGATGGTATGCTTTATATTATACCTAAATGTATTCATGAAGTATATATTTGAAGCGCTCCAAATGATGCTGAATACATCGAAATTCAAAAATGATAAACATTATATAAAGATTTTCTAGAATTTGCGAAAAATTTAGCAAAAATGGAAGAACAAATAACATTAAAATTGTAGGATAATACCTGATAATTTGTATTACAAATATGTTAGAAATAAAATACAATGTATTGATGATCATATACAACAGTAAGGTAAGGTAAAACATGTTATAAATAATAATAAAGTGTAAGGTAAATATTTTATTTTTTTACATAATCAAATTCTTTCCATCTTTTATGAATGTTTAGCAAATATTATTGATTTGATTCTATTCAATAAATAAAATGAAATTCCATCTATCATTTTAATTAGATATAATTAAGAATATGTAAAATTTTAAATATTCAACTGATTGAAGACTACACATTCCATATTTCATCTTTAAAACATTTATTTATAAATTACCTTAGAAAATATTTAAAATAATTATTAAAATAAATTGAAAGCTTTTTAATTAATTTTAGTACATTAAAATATTTTTCATGAGCATAAAATCAGCAAGTAAATAAACAATTGTCTCGAATTTTGAATTTATTTTACAGTATATTTATTTAATAGTTAAAATCTTGAATTTTATAGCAATTTCTAAATTAATATAAGTTATTTTTTTAATTTATTTTTAATTCATTTATCATTTAAACTATTTTTTAAATTTAATTTTAGCATATATTTTTTACAATTTTGGAAAAAATTTTCATTGGACCACCATTGTTGAAATATATCAAGTATTGTTTAAATAAACTGAAATTATTGAATAACATCCAAAATTTGAGCTTGGCTGCACCTTTCATTTGCTACATATGATATCTTCATTCGGGTGGACGGATATACAATAGCTGAAATTGTATCAATCGATAAATTCAATGAATTCAGTTTACTTTGATTTGAGTTGGAGTTTTTTACAACAATTACGAAAATCGATCGATATTCAGTCTAATCTGTGATAAACCTACTTTATAGGCATACTATAAACTAAAAAAAAATGTTTATTTTCTGTCCTAAATGCAACTATCCGATATAATTTATGATAAAATTATTCATTTTGAATTAATAAGTTGATTTTCCATTTTTATGCATATTGTTAACACAAAAAATACATGAAAAAAACTATTTTACTTTATTAAAGTATATTTAAATTTATTCCTAATATTTAGAAATCGTCAAAATTTATTAAACTACACCCACTAAATTCCTTTATTCAATTTTTTTTTTTTACTCTTTTCACTCTGTGGCACTAAGAGGGCCTTTTTTTACGTGTGACACGAAGGCACTAAGAGGGCCTTCTTTTTAAGCCATCCACAATGGAATGGGCCCTGAATCCTGGAAAGCCACCCCCGAAAAACTCTGGGTTTTTCGATCAGGATCCTCCGTAACAAAAGGCTAACGACTTGCCACCTCGGTCATCCAGTCGGTTTACATTTAGTTTATATTCTAAATCTAATTACATTTAATTTATTTAACAATCAAGTAAATAATAACAAGAAATCTGGAATTATAATTTTGTATAAATTTTAATGTTTCGCGGTTGAGAATATGAGAAAAAAAAAGATTAAGTTTTTTTTTCAAGTCTTTCAATGTCAAGATTCTATAAATATTTTTGAAAATAAATAGAAATTATTTTACAAGACGGAAGAAAGTATGTTCAACGTTGTTGTCGTGCTTAATTAAAACTTTGCTTTACTAAATTAATTATTTATGTCCAGGCTTAATTAATATAATTAAACTTCAATAGTAAATGTAATTTAAACTGGGAAAACATAAAATAAAGAAGTTTAGCTAAATACAAGTAAAGGTATAAATATCCTTAGTCATATTATGTTGCCAATCCCATTTTCGTGAGACTTCTTAGACTCGTGAAAATGGGATTGACACTATAATGTGATATGATCATACAATATTGTATGATTATATCACATCCCAGTACAATAAATCATATCAATCTATAAATTGCATTAGGTCTGTATTTCGAAAAATTACTGGATCAATGTGTGAAAATTAATTGAACAGTTAATAATAAATTTAGATAGTGAATGTTAGGAAAAAAAAATTAAATTTCAATTATTATTATTAATAATAAAAATAAACCTATATGTAACATATTAACTATAAAATGAAGTGCACGAATAATATATATCATTAATAAATAAAAGATAAAAATATCACTAGTATTATTAACTTTAAAATTTTTAGTATCATTTAGATTAGTTCTGTAGAATATTTTAAAATATAAACTTTACTGTCTGTAGTGTAATAAATTGAATTTAAAAACTTGAGAACGTTTAAAATGTTTTGCAGTTAAAACATTTTATGTATAATAGTATGATTATGACTATATAGTTTACAGCATTTTCCCTTAACGAACACAAATGACATCTCTTGAAAATTATATGGAAATTTCAATCTTAAGTAAAAGTAAATGAGATTGAAATATCATAAAATGTTTATTTACATTAAATTGGGATTAAAATATTGTCGCAAATTATTTTTTGATTGAATAAACAGTAGCACATTGCATCAAAACAGGCATTGATAACACAGCATCCCAATCAGGATTGATTGGATGGTTATAAAACAATTTAGCATATGGAAATTTAAATTTAAAACACACTTTTACAGTTCTAATAATAAAAATTTAACATTAAAATTTAACAGTAAAATTTGCATACTTAAAGAAAGCACTAAAATATTTTATGTGGATTTATTAAAACGAAAAATATGTAAAAGTAAAAAGAAATTACAGTATAAATTAAACAACATTTACATTCCATAATAATTTTTAAAATTAATGAAATATACTTATAAAATGTACTTAAATATATCATTTATATATTCTATAAAAATTATTTTATAATTTTAAACAATTAATTTATATTAAATATATAATTCATGTAGCTACATATCATCGCAATCTGTCGTTCTAATGAAAGCATACGCTTTTAAGATCTTAACAACTGTAATGTATTACTGTTCTTTATACGTTGGAGCCACAAAATTTATTATAGTAGTACTTTTATTTTATACGCGGTTATATTGATATGACACGTCTAAAATATCCTAAGATAATTTTCTGTAGTGAATTAATGGATTCGATAGTTATGGAAGGAGAAATTTTAGAACAAATATAAATATTGATTATGCCGTATTATTGTGGAAAATTATCAAGTCAGTTTAATTTAAATGTATATTATCGAGAATGAATAATACATTTATTATTTCTAGGATCGTACTAGGAGTCAAATGCTAGAGGACATCGTAACTAATTTGCAAAATCACGCCGAAACGGGTCAAATTCCCAAACCTTACAGGTAAAATTTAAATCCGATTTAAATTCTTTTGAGATTAGATAAATATTTTTGTTTCCGTTTATGTTATTTCGGTCTCTTTAAAGAAAAATTGTTTTTTAAGAATGCAAACAACTACACAAACACACACACTAAAATCGATTTGGTGATTAACGGAACCGTTCTCGGCCCGGACATTAATGACATTGTCTCGGACGAGCTATATATAGAAACGCTGTTGCAGTCATTGAATCGACATACGATGAATGAATGGATGGAAGAAGACGCTTCCTCCACCTACTTTAAACCGTGGTTTGTTTCCTAGGCAACGTGCAGATGAAAGTAGGACACTAGAGCCATGCAGTCCACTTGTTTACTTCAAAGATGCGAAATTTGATACCAGAATAAAATATATAAAAGAGACTGAATGTTTTCCGCTATGATTTCTCTTAAAATACATTATAATTATTTGTTTTAATTATTATTATTATTATTATTATTTTCATTTTGTATTAATTTCTATATGCGTAAAAGAATTTTTATATTAATTCTTAGGAGGGGTTCTTGGCGCCCGATCGGTCACATGAGGCCTTCCAGTCCATTGTTAGATAGCGTAAGAGATTCATTCGAAGGTTATGAACAACTCGCTAAAGATTTTACAAAAGCCTTTCAAAATAATCATCAATTATGCGATGTGATATTTAATGTAGGACAAGGTTTGTTTACGCATATATTGTAAAACTATCTACAATAAAATATAATATGATAAATACATTAACTCTAAAAGTGTTTGAATATTTAAATTATTGAGTATTTATTTGTATACTCAAAGGTAAAGAAAAGACTAAAGTTTATGCAGTTCGAGCAATTTTGGGAATTAGAAGCAGGTAATTGTGATAAATTGTTTTATAATATAAATGATTAACAAAAAATGTTGATATAATTATAATATTTTCTTTATTTTTTTTATAAGGGTATTTTTAGAAATGCTTTATGGATTTACTACTGGTTACGGCCCATCATCTGGACCTTCAGATTCAAGTTATAAGACAGAAGCACCGAAATCCAGTAACTTTTTACAAGTAAAGAGAGGGAATTTACGTTAAAATTTTATAATTTCTTTATTTAATAGTAATCGTTTTTTTTAANTATTATACTATCTTCAATAAAAAAAATCATAGATAATATCAATGGAATTCTGATTAATTATTATTATGTTTTTAAATTGGCTTTATAAGGATATTTCCAGTTAGAATTTGTCAAAGTGCCAACTTTAGAAAGAACTTCGTGACTCAATTAATCTTCAGCGAATTGTACAAACTTTTAAAAAGTTAGACGGTGAAATGCCAAACAGTGTGAAAAAAAAGGAACACTAATGGTTCAGATACCTATGACGTAGCATACTTTAAAGCATTTTTAAAGTCAGATTTGACAGTCGTTAAGAGCTTACGACCTACTTCATAGTATAATGGTGCTCTCTTTTCATTTTTACGTATCTTTTGTACTTTAAATGATATACATTCATTAATATAATTAATGCAAATATCCAAGTTACATTTAATGTTAAAATTAATAAAAATAATAAATAAGGTCTGTTATAATAATAATAATAATAATAATAATAATTGTTATTTTTATGAGATGTATGGAGTAAGACAATTTATAAAAGAATTCGTATGTAAATATTTCAATAATTGTATAAAATTAATTATTTCAAGCATAAAATTGAAGTTAGAAATATATTTAACAGGGTTTGATAAATACAAAGGTGGTTTGGATACAGTGCACGATCTAACAGGTACTGAATCTGTATATACATCATGGAGAGGAATAGAAATTATGTTTCATGTTTCCACGCTTTTGCCTCACGAAGATCACGATCCACAAAAGGTAAAAAATTGATATCCAATCGAAAAAAAATAGCATTCAACATTTCCGATTCCTGTATGATGTATTGCTGATGTCTTTCATAATATTTCAGTTACAAAAGAAACGTCATATAGGTAATGACATTGTTTGTGTAGCCTTCTTAGAAGCTGAAGATACATTGTTTTCGCCGGCCTGCATCAAGTCCCATTTTCTACATACTTTTATTGTGGTAAAAACTTCTCCAAAGAAAACAAATCCTACCGTATATCAGGTCATTTTAATATTAAAATCAAACTAAAATAGTAAATCGATTATTCTTAACAAGATAGACAAAAATTATATATTATAATAGCAATGAGCGAAGATTATAACTCGATTTTTATCTGTTTTTTAATGTTTCCTGTGCTTTGAATAGAAATCAGTCGTAATATTCTCGGGCAGGAAATTACTATTTCTAGTGTCTGCTAAATGTCATATTTATTATTGTAACTTCATCTGCTTTGATTTTATGTGAATAGTTTATTTATTTATATATATATATATATATTTTATATGAAGTTGTAGTAGTTGATGCGATTCAGAAAAACATTATTTTATATCTGAATAAAATGTTTATTTATTATTAGAAAATTTTTCTTTCTGTTCAACAAATATTTATATTATATATATATAAAAAAAACCAGCTTAAATTTTTCAGTTTGTGATATAAAATAATATATTTCAGTATATTGTTTAGGTGTCTGTTGTTTCTCGAGATGAAGTTGGTGCTTATAAGCCTTATTTATGGCACTGTTCTGTTTTTGAAAAGGTAATAATATTTATATATTTAATATAAATTTTAGTATTTGTGAGAAATAAATAAATAAAATATATTTTATAGGATCCTTTATTTCGCGAGTGGCTATTAACGAAAATCGTCAATGGTGAAAGAGCTAGTTATTCAGCACCGAAATTTGCAAGAATGCAGGTGGTTTGTTTAATTTATATCTTTTGGAATGTGAAAAATTTCATCTTTCATATAAAATTTCTTTAATCTTGACTCTCGATTCTATATTAAAATTGCAGAATATTTTTATAAATCAATTATTGTACTTTATCACCATTATATTAACGACATAGAAGAAGTGTCTACGATGGTATGCTTTATATTATACCTAAATGTATTCATGAAGTATATATTTGAAGCGCTCCAAATGATGCTGAATACATCGAAATTCAAAAATGATAAACATTATATAAAGATTTTCTAGAATTTGCGAAAAATTTAGCAAAAATGGAAGAACAAATAACATTAAAATTGTAGGATAATACCTGATAATTTGTATTACAAATATGTTAGAAATAAAATACAATGTATTGATGATCATATACAACAGTAAGGTAAGGTAAAACATGTTATAAATAATAATAAAGTGTAAGGTAAATATTTTATTTTTTTACATAATCAAATTCTTTCCATCTTTTATGAATGTTTAGCAAATATTATTGATTTGATTCTATTCAATAAATAAAATGAAATTCCATCTATCATTTTAATTAGATATAATTAAGAATATGTAAAATTTTAAATATTCAACTGATTGAAGACTACACATTCCATATTTCATCTTTAAAACATTTATTTATAAATTACCTTAGAAAATATTTAAAATAATTATTAAAATAAATTGAAAGCTTTTTAATTAATTTTAGTACATTAAAATATTTTTCATGAGCATAAAATCAGCAAGTAAATAAACAATTGTCTCGAATTTTGAATTTATTTTACAGTATATTTATTTAATAGTTAAAATCTTGAATTTTATAGCAATTTCTAAATTAATATAAGTTATTTTTTTAATTTATTTTTAATTCATTTATCATTTAAACTATTTTTTAAATTTAATTTTAGCATATATTTTTTACAATTTTGGAAAAAATTTTCATTGGACCACCATTGTTGAAATATATCAAGTATTGTTTAAATAAACTGAAATTATTGAATAACATCCAAAATTTGAGCTTGGCTGCACCTTTCATTTGCTACATATGATATCTTCATTCGGGTGGACGGATATACAATAGCTGAAATTGTATCAATCGATAAATTCAATGAATTCAGTTTACTTTGATTTGAGTTGGAGTTTTTTACAACAATTACGAAAATCGATCGATATTCAGTCTAATCTGTGATAAACCTACTTTATAGGCATACTATAAACTAAAAAAAAATGTTTATTTTCTGTCCTAAATGCAACTATCCGATATAATTTATGATAAAATTATTCATTTTGAATTAATAAGTTGATTTTCCATTTTTATGCATATTGTTAACACAAAAAATACATGAAAAAAACTATTTTACTTTATTAAAGTATATTTAAATTTATTCCTAATATTTAGAAATCGTCAAAATTTATTAAACTACACCCACTAAATTCCTTTATTCAATTTTTTTTTTTTCCTCTNAAACATTTATTTATAAATTACCTTAGAAAATATTTAAAATAATTATTAAAATAAATTGAAAGCTTTTTAATTAATTTTAGTACATTAAAATATTTTTCATGAGCATAAAATCAGCAAGTAAATAAACAATTGTCTCGAATTTTGAATTTATTTTACAGTATATTTATTTAATAGTTAAAATTTTGAATTTTATAGCAATTTCTAAATTAATATAAGTTATTTTTTTTAATTTATTTTTAATTCATTTATCATTTAAACTATTTTTTAAATTTAATTTTAGCATATATTTTTTACAATTTTGGAAAAAATTTTCATTGGACCACCATTGTTGAAATATATCAAGTATTGTTTAAATAAACTGAAATTATTGAATAACATCCAAAATTTGAGCTTGGCTGCACCTTTCATTTGCTACATATGATATCTTCATTCGGGTGGACGGATATACAATAGCTGAAATTGTATCAATCGATAAATTCAATGAATTCAGTTTACTTTGATTTGAGTTGGAGTTTTTTACAACAATTACGAAAATCGATCGATATTCAGTCTAATCTGTGATAAACCTACTTTATAGGCATACTATAAACTAAAAAAAAATGTTTATTTTCTGTCCTAAATGCAACTATCCGATATAATTTATGATAAAATTATTCATTTTGAATTAATAAGTTGATTTTCCATTTTTATGCATATTGTTAACACAAAAAATACATGAAAAAAACTATTTTACTTTATTAAAGTATATTTAAATTTATTCCTAATATTTAGAAATCGTCAAAATTTATTAAACTACACCCACTAAATTCCTTTATTCAATTTTTTTTTTTTCCTCTTTCACTCTGTGGCACTAAGAGGGCCCTTTTTTACGTGTGACACGAAGGCACTAAGAGGGCCTTCTTTTTAAGCCATCCACAATGGAATGGGCCCTGAATCCTGGAAAGCCACCCCCGAAAAACTCTGGGTTTTTCGATCAGGATCCTCCGTAACAAAAGGCTAACGACTTGCCACCTCGGTCATCCAGTCGGTTTACATTTAGTTTATATTCTAAATCTAATTACATTTAATTTATTTAACAATCAAGTAAATAATAACAAGAAATCTGGAATTATAATTTTGTATAAATTTTAATGTTTCGCGGTTGAGAATATGAGAAAAAAAAAGATTAAGTTTTTTTTTCAAGTCTTTCAATGTCAAGATTCTATAAATATTTTTGAAAATAAATAGAAATTATTTTACAAGACGGAAGAAAGTATGTTCAACGTTGTTGTCGTGCTTAATTAAAACTTTGCTTTACTAAATTAATTATTTATGTCCAGGCTTAATTAATATAATTAAACTTCAATAGTAAATGTAATTTAAACTGGGAAAACATAAAATAAAGAAGTTTAGCTAAATACAAGTAAAGGTATAAATATCCTTAGTCATATTATGTTGCCAATCCCATTTTCGTGAGACTTCTTAGACTCGTGAAAATGGGATTGACACTATAATGTGATATGATCATACAATATTGTATGATTATATCACATCCCAGTACAATAAATCATATCAATCTATAAATTGCATTAGGTCTGTATTTCGAAAAATTACTGGATCAATGTGTGAAAATTAATTGAACAGTTAATAATAAATTTAGATAGTGAATGTTAGGAAAAAAAAATTAAATTTCAATTATTATTATTAATAATAAAAATAAACCTATATGTAACATATTAACTATAAAATGAAGTGCACGAATAATATATATCATTAATAAATAAAAGATAAAAATATCACTAGTATTATTAACTTTAAAATTTTTAGTATCATTTAGATTAGTTCTGTAGAATATTTTAAAATATAAACTTTACTGTCTGTAGTGTAATAAATTGAATTTAAAAACTTGAGAACGTTTAAAATGTTTTGCAGTTAAAACATTTTATGTATAATAGTATGATTATGACTATATAGTTTACAGCATTTTCCCTTAACGAACACAAATGACATCTCTTGAAAATTATATGGAAATTTCAATCTTAAGTAAAAGTAAATGAGATTGAAATATCATAAAATGTTTATTTACATTAAATTGGGATTAAAATATTGTCGCAAATTATTTTTTGATTGAATAAACAGTAGCACATTGCATCAAAACAGGCATTGATAACACAGCATCCCAATCAGGATTGATTGGATGGTTATAAAACAATTTAGCATATGGAAATTTAAATTTAAAACACACTTTTACAGTTCTAATAATAAAAATTTAACATTAAAATTTAACAGTAAAATTTGCATACTTAAAGAAAGCACTAAAATATTTTATGTGGATTTATTAAAACGAAAAATATGTAAAAGTAAAAAGAAATTACAGTATAAATTAAACAACATTTACATTCCATAATAATTTTTAAAATTAATGAAATATACTTATAAAATGTACTTAAATATATCATTTATATATTCTATAAAAATTATTTTATAATTTTAAACAATTAATTTATATTAAATATATAATTCATGTAGCTACATATCATCGCAATCTGTCGTTCTAATGAAAGCATACGCTTTTAAGATCTTAACAACTGTAATGTATTACTGTTCTTTATACGTTGGAGCCACAAAATTTATTATAGTAGTACTTTTATTTTATACGCGGTTATATTGATATGACACGTCTAAAATATCCTAAGATAATTTTCTGTAGTGAATTAATGGATTCGATAGTTATGGAAGGAGAAATTTTAGAACAAATATAAATATTGATTATGCCGTATTATTGTGGAAAATTATCAAGTCAGTTTAATTTAAATGTATATTATCGAGAATGAATAATACATTTATTATTTCTAGGATCGTACTAGGAGTCAAATGCTAGAGGACATCGTAACTAATTTGCAAAATCACGCCGAAACGGGTCAAATTCCCAAACCTTACAGGTAAAATTTAAATCCGATTTAAATTCTTTTGAGATTAGATAAATATTTTTGTTTCCGTTTATGTTATTTCGGTCTCTTTAAAGAAAAATTGTTTTTTAAGAATGCAAACAACTACACAAACACACACACTAAAATCGATTTGGTGATTAACGGAACCGTTCTCGGCCCGGACATTAATGACATTGTCTCGGACGAGCTATATATAGAAACGCTGTTGCAGTCATTGAATCGACATACGATGAATGAATGGATGGAAGAAGACGCTTCCTCCACCTACTTTAAACCGTGGTTTGTTTCCTAGGCAACGTGCAGATGAAAGTAGGACACTAGAGCCATGCAGTCCACTTGTTTACTTCAAAGATGCGAAATTTGATACCAGAATAAAATATATAAAAGAGACTGAATGTTTTCCGCTATGATTTCTCTTAAAATACATTATAATTATTTGTTTTAATTATTATTATTATTATTATTATTTTCATTTTGTATTAATTTCTATATGCGTAAAAGAATTTTTATATTAATTCTTAGGAGGGGTTCTTGGCGCCCGATCGGTCACATGAGGCCTTCCAGTCCATTGTTAGATAGCGTAAGAGATTCATTCGAAGGTTATGAACAACTCGCTAAAGATTTTACAAAAGCCTTTCAAAATAATCATCAATTATGCGATGTGATATTTAATGTAGGACAAGGTTTGTTTACGCATATATTGTAAAACTATCTACAATAAAATATAATATGATAAATACATTAACTCTAAAAGTGTTTGAATATTTAAATTATTGAGTATTTATTTGTATACTCAAAGGTAAAGAAAAGACTAAAGTTTATGCAGTTCGAGCAATTTTGGGAATTAGAAGCAGGTAATTGTGATAAATTGTTTTATAATATAAATGATTAACAAAAAATGTTGATATAATTATAATATTTTCTTTATTTTTTTTATAAGGGTATTTTTAGAAATGCTTTATGGATTTACTACTGGTTACGGCCCATCATCTGGACCTTCAGATTCAAGTTATAAGACAGAAGCACCGAAATCCAGTAACTTTTTACAAGTAAAGAGAGGGAATTTACGTTAAAATTTTATAATTTCTTTATTTAATAGTAATCGTTTTTTTTAAAAATATTATTTTAGGTGCCAGATATTCACGAACCTCCAAGAAATAAACCACCATCGAGTCCAGTAGTATGGAGATATTTTTCTCGTCTTGGAAATTGGGCTGGATGGGGAATGGGAAGTCGTAGCACATCTAAAAGTAATTTAGCATCTGACCCCGGAGGACTTAAACGATGGCAGAGTGAGTTCGATTGTAAGTGTGTCTGGTGGAGTGATTTTGTTATGTGATTTTTTTAACAATAATAATTTAAAAAAAATACTTCGTCACAAAATTTACATAAAAATTATATTAATTAATGTATTAAAAATTGAACAAGTAAAATTAAACACAGTAAATCAATTTGCTAGTTGTTGTAAAATTACATTAATTGATAATGTTTAATTAAATATATAAATTAATTAAAAATGTTTAGAATTACGATAATAGGTATTGTTGATATAGATTATCTTCATTTTACAAATAATAATTTAATTAAATAATATAAAATTGAAGATAAATATGTTATGATTATCGTTATATAACTGTTATATACAAAATATTTTATATTTTGAAAATAAAATTAGGTAAAGATAAAACCGATAGAGAGCGAAAGCAATCTCTAACTGGCACTACAGTTGCATTAAGTGTTTGTGCAGATGCTCATAAAGTAGATCGCGTTAAACTTTGCCAAACTGAGGTAAGTAAAAGTTTTAATTTTTTTTTAAAGATATTTTTAAAATTTCATCTAATTAAATTTTATTAATTTTAGTTTAACATAATCGAGTTTGATAGTGATACGTTTCGAACGTTGATTGATTATCTACAAAGTGGTTCTTGCCCTCTCACCTGCGAAACTATTCCTGGTTTAATATGCGCTGCTGAACATTACGATTTGCCAGAGCTATTACAAGCTTGTTTCCATCATGCTAAACAGCACCTGAAAATAACTGTGGTAAGTTACAAACGTTTTGAGCAGTAAATCGATATTACGATAAACAACCAGGATTAAGAGGGAAAAAAAGAGTTTAACAAATTTACGGAAAACAGGTACATGTTTTGCGTAAATCCGTTTTAAATTGATTGATATGTAAAATTTACCGTTGATATTAAAATATATTTACACAAAATATAGGCCTATATATTGTAAGATCCAAAATGTATGGATCTTAAAATACAGATTTAATACAGAAGATTGGCCATAATTATAGACAGACATTTTCTGATTGACCTTCCGTATTGAAATTTAATCATGGAAAGTTTTGTGATGTCATACGCAGTAAACGATTAGTCCAATAATAAGAAACATAACAACATACTGTATATTGTGAGTCGAAGAATGGGGAACATAGTAATTGTTGTTGTGTTTCTTATTCTTCCACTAATTGTTCTAGGTCTTTATAGGATTTTTGACGAGTAGTAATAATAATAATAATGATAATAATAATATATTTGAATAACGTAATGCATAAAAATGAGAAATCAAAATTTTATAGTTTTAATTAGCTACAACCTAGACTTCACAATATTTGTTACTAGATTTATATTACTTCATACATTTTGTAGAATTCGTATCTTACCTTAAACGAGAATCATTTAAATATTGTACGTTTTCAACGAATGTATTTTATACACATAATTTTTACATACAATTTAATTTATATATTAGCCTATTGTTTTTACTAGATATCTTTTATTATTAGAAAATGACTTTACCCATCAGTGGCCGAGTGAATAAAACCATTGAACCCTGATAGTTGGTCACGATATTTTGTTTGCCAAACCAACAGCTGGTCACACGGAGTTTTCCGGGTTTTCTTCATGCGTGTAACACCTTAAATAAGTTTCTTACTGAAAGTCTCCCGGGACAGAATGTTAGTGCAGGGCTTCTTAAACTATGGGTCGCGACCCCATTTGGGGTCGCTTAGCGAAATCTTGTGTCGCGAGATTTTAATGAAAAATATTGAAAATAATTTGTGAGAGTTTGAAAATGGCACGCTTTGTGTCATAGGTTTCGTGAGTTGCTCTTTGTGTCACTTTTGGTGCAGCGAGACAACGATTCAGCAACACTGATTGTAGTGTTGACTAGTGTAGTATTGTCGCTTTTCAGTGTATTCAGTTGTCTCTGTTCCATTGTAACACAAGAGTGAACTGTGGTAGTATATCATTATTGTTTTTGAAATTTGTATACTGTATATCTTTATTTTATATTTTTTTTCTGGTCGCGAAAAAAGTCACAATCATAAATGGGGTCGTGAATAAAAAAAGTTTAAGAAGTCCTGTGTTAGTGTATTGCACTGTGTTATCTTATAACTCAGCTCTACCCGAAATTATTTTAATAATAATTTAATAAAGGATTGGACTGGTGTGAACATAATGAACTGTCTTAATTCCAATTTAAATTTGAACAGGAAAGAAGCCTTTTTCAAGTCCATTCAGTTGTAAGTTACAAATATGCATGAACAAACATTTAATCTGATACAGCCATGTGTTTAAAATGTAACTCACACTTCATCAGTCTCTGTAATTTTTAATATTTAAAATTTATTTTACAATTTAATCGACACTTAAATCTTAAATTTAAGCAACAGGTATTGCAACAACAGTTGTTAGGCTAATCTTTTTCCAATTGTTCCCGTATACGCAATATTTAAACCAATCCCTCATTTACTACACTTTGACATATTGACATTTAAAAAAAAATCTTTCGCCTTAAAATTAATGTACACGTTCATAAACCCAACCACATCATCCATAGATGAAGAAAATAACGTTAAAAGATTGCAATACACTTCATAATCCATAATCGTACATCGAGTGTGCCAAACAGATCCTCATTAACGCGATCGATCTTAAGACTCAGATACGTCCAGTAATTTAGTCGAGTGGTTATTAAGCACTTACTACTAAACGGTTTAGTGTATAAAAAGTGTCCAGACTAGTATAGTTGTACACGCAGCAAGCTTGGAGATATCCAGACATAGACATAGACTAGACATATTCGAACTGCATCGAATAATGCTGTAAGAAGTATTAAACTAATGAACTCGACTTAAACAATTCTATCCGTACGTGTTTAGAATTTAGTGACGTGGTAGGAGTCTCAATAGATTAAAAATATAATTAAATGGATTTATTAAACTAGACTAATTTTCACTTCTCGCGTACGGTACGATACTAAACAATTTGCCACTTGACTAAATTACTGAACCTGACTGAACATGACTTTACAAAAGTAAAAATAGAAAATAATACAGTTAAAAGTTCGATCATTAAAACTGCAATAAAACTCGAATTTCCAAAAAATTCGAGTTTTATTGCAGTTTTAATGATCGAACTTTTAACTGTATTTTTTATTTTTACTTTTGTAAAATTGGTCGCTTTAATGTGGATCTGTTATGAGTGCAAGTGACTGAAGGGGTGTTTGGCACACTAAATGTACTGTTGTAGATTATGGTGTTGCAATCTTTTAATGTTTATGTAAGAATGATACGGTTTGATTTACGAATGAATACGTAAATTTTAAAGCGAAAGTTTTGTTAAATGTCAATGTGTGAAAATTTGGAAAAAATAAAGGATTCATTTAAAATATCGTGCACAAGGAAACAATTGGGAAAAGGGTTGGTCTATGAAAAATATTTGCTAAGTTTAGATGTAAGTGTCGCATTAAATTGGGAAGTTAATTTTAGATATTAAAACTTGCATGCACTGATGAAGAATGGTGAATCACGCTTGCAATATCAGTTTTTATGTTTATCTATTTGTATCTTTAACTTGCAATTGAATTGTTCTTTGACGAATTGAATAAAGCCTTCTTTTCTGTTCATCCTTAAGCTAGAATTAGGATAGCTCATTACGTTCACGTTAGTACAAGCCGTAATATATTTGCTTTGTCAGAGTCTAATCAATACAAGAACAACTTAATAAATAATTATTTATATATATATTTATTTATGTAATAAATTTATATATACAAACGCATAACAATTATGATATTATTATTCTAATATGAATTATAGAGTCGTAATTCATAGTATATTATAGTCATTGGAAACTAATTTAAGTCTGATTCCGACATATTAGGCTATTCATTTATATTTAATTTTATAATTAATTGAAGATCCGGAATTATTTTGTGGTTTAATTTTTGTTTTTTTTTCAAATATTTACATAATTTTAAGTAATCAATAATGTGTATTGAAGATTTTGCAATATTAATTAAGCTACTGAATGTTATTTTATTACGCCTAGTCCTTTATTAATTCATGATACAAATTAATTTTATACATCTTAATGAAAATTAGTTTGAACTTGAAACTAAAAAGGTTAAAAATAGTAATAATTTAAGGTTCAAATTAAGGTTAATATCAAGTTGCGCGAAAAAACATTTGTTCTTAGAAGTGACAAATCTAAATAATAGCCAAAATGATTCTGATAACTTTACAAGTATTTGCAAAAATCACATGATTTCTTTACTTATTAATCATTTTATATATTCAATATATTGTTATAAAACAGATTTATTTTTGAAATCTTTCAATTGAACTGAGGTTTGATGAGAATCATTTAAAATTAAATTTTGTTCTTTTTTTTCTCTGGAACAGTGTTGTGTCATTTGTCGTCCCATTTTCTGTGGAACAATGCTCCGTAACAACGAACTGTACATTTCTTTCACTTCGAAACATCCATAGAGCTTGGTATTTTTAAAAGCCAACTCATATTGCAATTTTAGTGATTGGAGAAATTTCAGTGTTACACATTTTAAAAATATTTTAATGTATTCAAATATTAAAGGCTTGTTTTTTTGATAAAATTAGTTTTAATTTTAATATTTACAAAAAAATATTAAATCTTACTATAATTAATTTCATTGACTCTAAAATTAGATGACAAAATTGGTATTATTAGAGAGAGAGAATAAGCAGAATAAGCAGACAAGAGGTATTTAAATACTTTCTTGTTTAATTTTTTGTTTCAATAGTGACTGTTTTTCTGTACTTAATGTTTATTAATATTTGTTCTTTTTATTAAACTATCTTTTGTATCCATTACAAAAAACTTTGTGTAAAATACGCCATTAAAAACCTTCTCTCTTTCTATAAAAGTTCTTTACGTCAACTAAACTACAATTTTTAATCATAAATTTTAATAAGTAAGAAAAAAAGTTTAAATTATATTTTAATAGAAAATAATCATCATCGGTCAATGATGGCAGAGAAAATCTTGAACGTTGTAAAATATTTCTATCAGTAATCGTATTTACGTATAATTCCTCCTCTTTGTTGTTTGTATTGTATTAATTAATATTACATTGTAGGCTAAATTAATAAATTTAAAGTGAATATATAAATTATATATATCCGTTAATTATTAAAATTTTACGGAAAAGAAAAAGTAATCTTAAAAAATCAGAAAATATTTTTAGAAAATGGTATATTTTAAATTCAACAAAACATAGAGTAATATATAACACATAAAACTTATCTTATTATCGCTATTGAATAAATCACACTTTATATTTTCTGGAATGGATTCGAACATGTATTTAATATTGAACCATCTCATCCTAGTTCAATGACACCACTTATTCGGAACAACGACTAACCTTTTGAAAGTACACCTACTTCTCCAAAACGATCACTTCCAAGACTTTTGAAAGGTGATTTGTCTTTATTATACACGCATTATTTCCTAAAAAAAAAAAACAAGACTCCTTTACAGAATCTGCCTTGTAATTTGTGAAATACAAACTTTTAGAATAAGCTTCTAAATTTACTTGCATTATTCCCAAAGTAATTATTATAATTAAAAAAATTCCTTATTAACTCTATTACGAATTTAAATACGGTATCTTCTATGAACGAGAGAAATATTTTAATGATTTTTTTAAGATAATTTCTTAGCTATTTGTGTAATAAACTAGTTTTCGGAATTAAAAAGTCACTTTACATGTTA